CACTGATAGCCGCAGCTCACGCTCATCTCTGAAGCTCATTTAGGCAGTGTTCTGAATCTCCTCTCCTCACGCACTCCGAAACAATGGTCTCTTGACTCTTAGGCAGTTCCAGACTTTTTCCCAGAGTCTTTCCTGGCTAGCTGTGGTGCACTAGCCCCCTTCAGGCTGTATTCATGCAACCAACCCCAGTCCTCTCCCTCAATCTGACCTCTGAAGCCTGAGCCTCAGCTCCCAGCCCCTACCCTCCCCAGGAGGTGAGCAGACAAGCCTCTGAGGCTGGTGAGTGCTGGTTGGCACCGATCCTCTGTGTGGGAATCTCTCTGCTTTACCGTCTGCACCCTGTTGCTGCACTCTCCTCCGTGGCTCCAAAACTTCCCCCTCTGCCCACCCTAGTGTGTGGAAACTTTTCCTCCCTCACAGCTCTCTCCCAGAGGTGCAGATCCCTTCCCTATTCTTTTGTCTCAGTTTTTTCTTTGGCTCCACCCTGGTACATGGGGAGTTTCTTGCTTTTTGGGAAGTCTTAGGTCTTCTGCCAGCATTCAGTAGGTGTTCTGTAGGAGCTATTCCACGTGTAGATGTATTTTTGATGTATTTGTGGGGAGGAAGGTGATCTCTATGTCTTACTCCTCCACCAACTTGAAGGTCCTCTCAAACTTGCTATTTTAAATGTATTGGAAAAATAAATAGCACCACCTCTCTTTCACAATTGTTTGGCAAGAACTAGTTGCATGGCTATACATATATAACAACTACAAGGAAGAATTTTAAATATAGTTTAGCCAACAGCCTTTGCTACATACATATTATTGGAGAAGAATAGTATGGGCTGTGAAGAATAGCTAAGAGTCTCAATTACTTCACATAGAATGTGTCCAGTTGTACATAGGAATTCAATTCTACTTGAATTTTCATCCTGTGATCTTTATACAAATGGATGAAAAATAAAGAAATTGTGTATGAATTACTTGTCACAGTGTGTCTTCTCGTGGAGGCACCTCCAACCAGTGTCTTTTCTATCAAAGATTTTTAAGTTAGTATGTATTTATAGAATTTAGAAGTTAATTATGTTCCCATAAAGATGGAAAAATTTTAATTTTTTAAAATTTTTTTTAAAAATTTTGAGACATCCATGGCCTTTTAATTAACCATATTTTAAGGTACTTTAATAAAACAAAATATGTTAACTGAAAATTTATCGGCAATAGTGATAATTTTATTTCAACAGTTGAGATACATTGTTTCAAATATTAATTAGCTTTAATACTCATATTTAATTCAAGATAGCTTCAGTGAGTTTGATGGGAGAGGGATAATGGCTGACTAATAAAAATATGAGAAAAAAATATGGCTTATGATTAGTGACCCCTCATAGGTGGTATAAACTTAATTTTATATTAAAGTCACAACACTCGATTTTGCCAAAACTCCACTGTATGTGCTGACATTTGAACACTTCCCACCCTGAGTTACATTGGTTATATCTTTACCAGAATATCTAATCTTACACCTGTATCATTTCTAGCTGACATCCAGTGTACACACTCATTTTTGGATATGGGCAAGAAAATAGTCCCAATATTCTCATTTTATTTCACCTCAATGTCTAGCATCTGCTCAGTTCTTTCCCACAGATCTATCTTCCCAAAGACCATAATTAGTCTTGGTATGGGCGCTCCTTAGCTCAAGCAGTGGGGATTTGGAAGGAGTTTACCCATGTGGGCTGGGATGTCTACAGACATTTATGTGAGATCCGTATGAGGCAAAGCAGAGACTCAGTATGGGCCAGGGTTAGGAAATGGTTCTTCCTTCCCTGCTTCCATGAAAAAAGAGGAGTCTAATAAATAAATAAATCTAACAAACTGTTAAATAAAATATGAGGTACATTTATCAAGGTACAAAAATAGAACATATTTTATTTAACAATTTATTTGCTATACTTATAACATTTATATATTTCGCCATATGATATATGAATCTATTTCTGTGGTCTTGTCCAAGTCCCTGCAAACATTAGGATTAGAACTGCCTTTTATATATTTTTTTCACGATGGAAGAAACTTAATTTCTTTTGTTGAAGGAGCATTTCTTGTACTCCTCTGTGAAATTATTTCTCCTAAAGTATTGCCTTTTGTTTCTCACCACCATATTCTTTCCAGTCAGTACCTCAGATAGCTACCATTCCCTCAGATACTTGTCACTGTTGGCGGTAGAAAACAGAGCTCTGATATCAGCCTCCAACCCAAGCTTGCCTCATCATCTTCCTTAAGCACAGAGCCCCACCACTAAATTCTTCTTACATAGAATTTCTGGAGCTGCTACTGACGGAGGCAGACCTTTTTTCTCTACATTTTTTGTATTATACTATAGCTTAGTCCAGGTATTGCTCTTAAACTTGTATAATTGTTATCTGCATAGTTATTTTAACCCATTCTCTTTCTTTTTTTTTTTCTGAATCTTCTAAACTGTATTTGGAGCTGACAAAATCTTCCTAGAGACAAGGCCCTGAGCAGAGCCTGTCCCCACCATAGTTTTACATCAACTGTACACAACAAAATTAGCAGAGTGATCTTTGGCACTAGAATGGGTAACTCCTTAGCTGTTCATACAATATCCAAACTGCACATCACATGACATTAAATTGCTGGTTAACAGATGAATTTTACATTTAAATTATCTTAAAAAGTTGGAAGTCCTAGCTAAGACTTTTTAGTATCAATATGCTAACCATATCTAACACTTAGTGCCTGACGTAGAGACTTCTGTAAGAGATTTATTGGAAAGAACACAACTGATAGTAAAGAAAAACACTTCCAATCTTGGAAGTATATAGTCAAATGTCTTTGCTGGTTCAACAAGCCGACCCTGAAATGCAGAACTTTTACTTCTTTTATTTCTGTAGAGATTTTGCATGGGAGTAGGGCTTTCTTTTGTTTGGACTCCTGGATTTTGGAATACATAATCCATTCTCTTTCATGTAAGCTTCTTGAGGGCATAAACTATATCTCACCTATGTACACTGCCCCACATACACCCATTTCGTTTCAACGCCCCTTTCCCCATACTGCGCATACTCTATGAATATCATGCTCTAGTATTCATAAGAAATTTCATCAAACAATGTTGAACAAATAGAGGTATAAATTATTTCCATGGTATTTACTATCCAAAGTATATCATATTTCATGTCATTTTATCTTTTAGATTTATCTTTAAAAATGAGGATTTATTGTTAACTTGATTTAGTAGATATAAAACTACAAGAATAAGTCTTTCTTTGAATAAGTTCAATGGAAGTAAACGAAATCTAAAAGCTCTGCTTTGGATTTTTAGAAATGTTATTTTATACGTATACCTGCTCTCTTCTTTCTAACACATTACAGAACCCTAAATTAAATTTAACTATGGGTTTTAAAATGTAGTACCTCTTGGATGAGTCAATTATTATAATAGATTGGGCTGAACAAAAATTATCTGTATTGTATGCTCCCAAAATTATCAGTTGCCAAATTATTCCATGGTTAATTAAAATATCATTGGTATGAAGTTTATGAAGCTGTCATGAATATACTGAAGCATTTTTCATAGACTTTTCTTACTGATGAGTCACAAACTTTATTATAGTTACCAGAAATGTGAGTGGCTATGCCTGATCTAAGTGTAGGCTGGATTTTTTGGTAAGCTTGAATGGGAATTTTTGGAATCGTTTTCCTCTACTAAATTCATTAGAAGGAAGATTTAGTCTTTATGGTTTTGTATTTGACAATCAATCCCATAGTAAATCATGTTTATGTTTTAGTTTTAATATGATATATGCTATTTTTATTCAGCATAAAATGCCTCATGCAATCTGCAGAAACTGGAAAATATTTTAATGATTAAAAAATATTTACAATTAAGATGTAGACTACTGAGTTAAAAATAACCCTGCACTGAGATTTGAAAACACAGTTTCTAATTCTTCCTCTATGTTAATGGGCAATTCTTTAATAATGGCACTTACCTCAAGGATTGTTCTGTGTATAAAATGGTATATGCAAACTAAGTGCATAATTGTGTTATGTGTTCAACAAATGCTAGTTTTCAAAATTATTTTACTGTTAATATTATTTCACTTTTGTAGTTTTCATATTCTTTACCAGTAACATGAGGGTCTGTACTTATTAATCTCTAACATTATCTGTTGTCTTAAAATTCTATTGTGCTATGAGTTATATAAATGTTGGCTTATTATCAGTGAGACAGTGAGAGATAAGTCTCTGGGTCTTTTTCTTTCTTTTTTTTAATAAATGCATCTTTTTTTAAATATATGGGTTTTTAAAAATAAATTTATTTATTTTTGGCTGCGTTGGGTCTTCGTTGCTGTGTGCAGGCTTTCTCTAGTTGCGGCAAGCTGGGGCTACTCTTTGTTGCGGTGCGTGGGCTTCTCATTGTGGTGGCTCCTCTTGTTGTGAAGCACAGGCTCTAGGCGTGCAGGCTTCAGTAGTTGTGGCACGTTGGCTCAGTAGCTGTGGCTTGTGGGCTCTACAGCGCAGGCTCAGTAGTTGTGGCCCATGGGCTTAGTTGCTCCGTGGCATGTGGGATCTTCCCGGACCAGGGCTCGAACCTGTGTCCCCTGCATTGGCAGGTGGATTCTTAACCACTGAACCACCAGGGAAGTCCTCTGGGTCTTTTTCTGACTAGCAGCAGAAGTCACTTTTCCTTACTGCTAAATATTCTCATGCATTGCAAGGAAAACGTAAGCTGTAGTTTTACAAATATATTACCAGAATAAAATTTAAATTTATGAAATCCCATTGATTAACATTTGATCAGGAAATAACATTTAGTTTAGATGAATGTTTTACTTTGCTGTTCTATAAAACTTTATTACAATTTAAATGTCTGTTCTCATTTGCTTAATATGAAAATGATGATAAATGTGTGGGAGAGTTGAGACTGCTACTTGCTTCACTTCCACCTATTAAGATTAAAAACAAACAAACAAAAAAACAAACAAACCCTCTGAAACATGTATTTATTCACTGGCTACTCCAAGAGTCACTATACCCCAAATGCTGTGAGTGATGTTTGGCAAGACAAATGAAAGAATATTGTAATAGACCTAAAGAAAAGTGATAGGGGTTAGACATGTAATTATAGAGGTTTTCCAACCTAGATGAGAAATGCTTTTCTCTCTAATGGGAAAATTGACAAAGAAAAAAGGAAATAGATAAAGCAACCTAAGAAAGTTGACACAAATGTGATACCACATCACATAGAAATGTTAATAAGGATTCATTAATATAAAACTATAGGCAGTGATGTACTTACTCTATACACTCTTGAAGGATGTCAAGTATAGCAAATCTCCATAAGCATTAACGCAGGAAACTGGCAGTAGAGCAGGAGCAACTATGCTGGGATGGATTCTAGGGTGTTTTCAGTGCATCTGTTTTCCATATGAGAGGAAAAGGATTAAAGTTTCCTTATTCTCCATATGAGAGGAAAGGGATTAAAGAATATGCCAAATGCGGATATATCCAGTTGAGGTCTAGGAGAGGATTAAATAAACAAATTTAGTTCATAGAATCATATAATTTAAGAAGGGATAGTAAAAATCAAATTAGACTTTTCCTTATAAGCTACAGATCAGATGTTATGACTTTTATGAGAAAACAATTATTTAATGACATAAGTACTATAGTAGAAAGTCTGAGAGTCAAGGCTCTAGGGCAAGTAACTTATCCTCTGTGATCCTTATTATAAAATGTACAAAATTGGATGAGAAGTCTTAAAATGTGCCACCCCCCCTAAAATATTGACACTTTGGAGACAGAGATCAACTTGAAATAACATCTCCTGAATCCTCTTCAATATTCTTCATTATAATCACCTGTAAAATGAGAATATAATCGAGTTACATTATCTGTTAAATACCTCTAAATAATGTACTTCTGATCTCTTTGATCTATGGGCAAAGGTAACGATTTTTTATTTTCATACATTAATTAGTGGATCTTTATTTTTAGTGGTTGAAGTATATTTAGGACATAAACTACAAACAAACTAAAAGATAAAGGAAAAGTTTAGACTCATACATTCAGGAGAGATGTAGCCATATTATTGTTAAAAACCAAGAACAACAATGAAATGTTTGTGTGGTGAGTCATGGGAGGAACAGCAGAAGGAGGGGATAGTTCAGAATTGTAATGTGCAAATGGAGATTCTGTTTGCTGATGTTCTGAAGTGGAAATGTACCAGGCAAGTACCCTCCTTATTTAGAAGCCTCAGACTGCCTGGCATGGATGTAACTCTCTCATGAGGGATTCCTTATGAATGAATAATGCAATTTATACCAAATTATCTTACCACAGTATAATGATTAGACTAGGAAATGTGGTTGGATCTCAAAACAGCCACATCTACTCTGACCAGCAGCCTGCACAATGGTCCTGCAATTGAGTTGCCTTGTAGGATAGTTACTAGCTAAGTTAAGGACATGTTTTGGTTACAGAATTTAAATGTGAGTAGAGAAGAAAGGGTTAGTTAATCCATCATGGAGTTAGAATAAGTAGCAGATGGAGAAAGGACCTAATAATGGAGGATTTATTCATTCTTCCTTAAAACCTGTGATGTCTTACAATATAGTCTCACATTATAAGTTTCTCACATCATGAGGTTGGCTATTTATAATCAGAGCACTGAGAATGGAAAAAATGACATCTCTGTGAATATTCAGAATGTCAAGGGAAGCCCTGGTTCACCTAGGCTCTCATATAGACTAGCTAAACACAACAAAAAGAGTAAAACTTCTTGTATTCCAAAGGAGGTTAAAGGAAAACTATGAATCGGAAAATGTATGAAATAAAAAGTGCAACAGATAGAATTCATCAGGAAATATACTGAAGTGAGTCAAATAATAGGGACAAGAAGGAAGAGGCAGTAAGGAAACTAAAATTAGGAACCCAGGATGGAATATGGAATATTCATGAAAGTAATCTTTTTTTTTAACATCTTTATTGGAGTATAATTGCTTTACAATGTTGTGTTAATTTCTGCTGTATAACAAAGTAAATCAGCTATATGTATACATATATCCCCATATCCCCTCCCTGTTGCATCTCCCTCCCACCCTCCCTATCCCACCCCTCTAGGTGGTCACAAAGCACAGAGCTGATCTCCCTGGACTATGCAGCTGCTTGCCAGTAGCTAGCTATTTTACACCACAAAAGTAATCTTAACATATGGTCTTTCTTCTCCCCCTACTGGGGCTTCTGCAAGGCCTGGGCCACCCAGTCTCAATGGTTTTGGACTGAATTGTTTGGGAAGTGAGAGTAAAGGAGAACTTAGACACTACTTGAAAACTTTGTTTTTTCCTTCCTCTGAACTTTTGCTTAACTAGCTTTCTTGCTGAAGACTTTCCTCTGTCTTCTCTTTCACTTATCTGAATCACACACATTCTTTGACACTAAGTGCCAAAGCCAACATCAAAGTGGAGTCTAATTTTCCACTTGAAAATCCTTATATTTGTCTAATTTAATTGAATACAATTTGATGTATATATTAGAAGTTAGAATACTTCTGTAATTGTCCAATCTAAATCTTTTCACCCGTTACAGCTGGTTAAATTCTGTTTCCACATATATGATACATTCAATACTTAACAAAAAATTTCATACTCTTCTATCTCCATGGGCAGACTGTATACACATCCATTCTTGACTTTGGACTTAACCACATGAGTTATTTTAGGCAATGCAATGTTAGTAGGCAAAATGAAAATAGATGCTCAAAATGTGTGTGTGCAGTCAGTATGCCCCCTTTGGTCACTGCCATTACAGAGAAGAGTTTCCTCCAGGTAGCTGTTGCCTGTCCAACATGGGCCTCAGAATTAAAAATCAGAGTAGACTAGACTACAAGCTGCAACCAAAAGTAGGCCAGAGCCAACTTGAAGCTGACCCATAGATACATGAAAAAGAAAATCTAATTGTTAGATGCCACTGAGATTTGATGATTGTTTATTAAGCAATCATTAATAGATAATATTCCTTTTGCTAAGTAGAGAGCCTTGAGATAATCAATTCTATAGAGAAAAATAAGTTAGTGATAAGGCATAGAAATGAAGATGATAAGGTAGAATTAAATGTTTAAATAAGGAAGTCAGAAATGGTTTCATAATAATGATGATATTGCAAGTTGTTGAGGAAATGAGCCATGTACATATCTGTGGGGACAGAATTTCAAGCCAGCAGACTGGTAAGAGCAAAAATCCTGAAACCAGAATGTGCCAACCTTTTTTAAAGAATAGCGCAGAGGTAAGTAGGGCAGGGAGACAGATCTAAAGGCCTTAGAGTCACTGTAAATTACATGGGAAATCACTGGAGGATTTTTTAAAGTATTTGTGGAATGAAATACGAGATTTATCTTTTAAAATAATTACTCTGTCTGCTTTGTTGAGAATTGGCGTGAAGGATGGAAGGCTAAAGCATCAGCACCCTGGCTGGTTAGGAAGCTATTGAAATAATTCAGAAGACAGTTAAAGATAGTTTAAACCAGTATAGCAGTGGTGTTCCAGGTCAGAAATATTCAATTTCTGGACATTTTTGAAGGTACAGCTGAGAATATTTGCTCATTAATTTTGATGTGAACTATAAAAAAATGGGAGGATCAATAATAATTCTAAGCTGGCTGGAAAAACTGTAAAGTGAAGTTGCTATTCACCAAGATAGGGAAGGCAATGTAGGGAGCAGTGACAGAAGACACCTGAAAGCATGGAATGTAGCATGAGTTGAAGTGATATGTTTCTGACTGGATATTGACTGAAGAATTTTACTGATGACCCTGCAAAACAGTGCTAGGATCCACAGTAATAAACAATGGATACTAGATGCTCCATATTTTTAAAACGTTAATTCATAAATAGGGTCAGACACTACCTTCCAGGGCTTACAAAACCAGACCAAACCCTCTCTTCCTCAGTGAACTCCCTTTTTCCTACTCCCTTGCTCCTACTTCATTGCACTCCCCACTAGGGTATATAATGAAAAAAACTAAAGCGAAGGAGAAAAGAAGAAAAATCTGGGTTACCACTGATGAGGAAATTGATGTTAGAAATAAAATGATTTTACTCCCCTGCTATTTGGGAAAAAAGTAGGATTCTTCCCTCCCCAAGCAGAGTGAGAATTTACAGGTAGAGCTTTACTCTTAGAGACAAAGACACTGAAGCTTCCTGCAGGGTAGGAGACTGGTATCTCATTTTCCTACTAGAAGTTTACTGGGCCATTGAATTTCAGAATCTCCCTTATGTTATTATAATAACATAATGAGCTCTTTGCACAACTTGATACATGTTCCTGTATTTGGTGTTTAGTGCTTTTTTTGAGGTGGTGTAACTTGACAGAAGCTTAAGCAGAGGAACAACAAGAATCTATAGCATCTATGCCTGGGAAGAAGACAGTGAGGGGCACTCAGTGGTTCCTTTGGCTCCATATTTGGACATGGAAGTTAGAGATGGACATGGGACTGCCCAAGGGTCTGCTGCACCTGTAAAAGTGTCGTACTACTCAAAGATAGTTTATAATGGACCATTGCTGGAGCCATGTTGAGACAAAGCTTCTCCTTTGCAGAGAGTTAATCACAGAAAGCAGGAAATAGGGTAAAGCTCAACATGGCTCCCAGAAATTTATGAACATTGTCGTCTGAAGCCACTAGGAGGAGACATAAACAAAGCAAGCCAAAATGAAAATGTAGATTCTTTCTTATCAAAGATGAACAGATTATAAATGAAGTTACCTGCCTATTTCATTGTTCTTCTTAGCCTCAATCTCTCAGTCTCAGAACAAGAATCTTCAAAACAGAGAGGAAGACTAAGAATCAGACCATAATAACCTTCTTCTTCCTGTGCAAGGTGCTGGGGTAGGGGAAGAAATAAGAGTGGCAAATGCCACTCCAGCTACTATAAGAAGTTCCACTCTGACTACTGTAAGAAACAACCCTGGGTGTGTCTGAAGGATTACATAGGATTTAATTAGCAATAAGATCGGCTTTTTAAATAACTGTTTTTAACATTTAATATGAGAGAGTGATATAACCTATGGGATCTTCCTGAAATATTCTTGTTGATCAGGAAATAGAAACCTAATGATCATAGTTGAAAGTAATGATTAGAGAAAAAGATAATAGCTTTTAACAGGCTCCTTATGTCATACCTCTGTAAACCACATATATAGGTATAAATATAATAGATATAGATATAAATTTCTGTCATCTTGAGTAATAACACTTTTTCCTAATAATTCCTTCTTGTTTTCTTCCTTTTTATAATGTAGATGTAAGAGTAAACATCAAAATTATGTCCCTTAGGCCTTCAAAGGATATCTGTGTTGATAGCAACTTGAGTGTTCTCCTGAAATATTAATATAAAATGTACATTTAATGATAAATGCCCACCCCTCTGAATTTATACAAATTCTGGTTGACCCCTGGAAAAAAGTTTTTCCTAGTTAAGAGAAAATATTTATTTCAGATAATCTACCTTAATGGGAAGAAGGAATCAGTGAATCAATACATAACAATGAAGAGTTTACTACAGAGTCTTTAAGAGTATACCAGGTGATTCTCTATGTGTCTAAGATATGTAACTTAAAAAAATGAAAAGCATGCATAGATTTTAGATAATTTTTAACTGTCAACGCATACCCCATGGTGTCAGCTTGATGTCAGCTCTCAATTAGAAACACATAGTCATTTGGTTTCTTTCTTTTAATTTGAAGTATAGTTGATTTACAATGTTGTGTTAGTTTCTGGTGTACAGCAAAATGATTCAGTTATATATATACATATATAATATACACATATATAATATATAATATGATATATTAATTTTTAATATGT